TTTTCTTTCCTAAAAGTCACTGTACAAGATAATTTTGTAAAGTGTCCCCATTAGCTGTACTCACTTCTTTCCCTATCTTGAAAGGAACATATAGCTGTCACTTCAAAAGCAGAGCTATGTGAAACCAAGAATCAGTGTGCAGCTTTTGTCAATTTAAAAGTATGCACAGGCAGTTATTTTTTAACTTTGTGTTCAGCTTGTGCAAACAGTCTCCAGCAATGCTGCACATTGATTAAAAATTTCTGATGATGCAAGATTAAGTAGTTCATTAGGAAGTCTGCACTACATTTAAGCAATCACAAAGAGATGAGCTCTAATTTGTCAAGCATCTTTCAAGTCCTCTTCTGAGCAACTGCAGTCAAAAAGCAAGGCAGAAAGAGGCTGGGGTAATTGAACGGATGCAGCAAGGGCTGCACAACTCAGCACGGGCTCAAATGGTAGGGGTTTTGTGCATAGGCTTCAGCTGTCAAACAACACTATTCACAAGTATGCACATACTAGGACAATATATTAAGAGATATTTTTTTCATTTAGGTTGTAAGGAAATGTAAGCACATCTCTAACCCCGGAAGAGAATAATGCATGAACACAATTGCATCTACTACTACCTTGTCTTCTCCATCTGGACAATTAAAAAAATCTGTATCCTTCCTAAGTGCAGAGAGATGAAGATGAATTTTTCCAGGACCAAAGACATCCTCTGTAAGCAGGTAACTGAATCAAACCCCGAGAAGTCCCCAGCCAGAACCATTTTCCTTCTGTCTATTCAAACAAACTTAGATGAATTCAGAGCAAAACTTGCATGAATCTTCTTGACCAAAACCCAAGATCATTCCAGGCTCCAGAGGCAAAACGAGTCTGTCAGGCCCTTAACACTGCTAAGTAACACGGTTTAGTTTGGAACAAAGAAATACTTTTCCACCAATAAAATGCATTGCTAGTTGGTTTCTTCTAAAACCTTACCAGCCCTTACTGGACTTGTGTGCATGAAAAACTTGTTAAAAAGCATCTAAGAAACTTCAATTTTAAAATGAGATCAAATATTTTAAATGAATAGCATTTCCAACTTGGGCTCTATTTTTAAACACAGTATGTACCTCATGCCACTAATTCATTTTTTTCCTGGAAGCTGAGCCATTTTGAGTGAAGTAACATAGTTTAAAATTTCATTAAAAAAACAAACAGTTTTAGGACTGCAAATAGCATAAAGCAGTATGATATCCTAAGAAGCTCCCACTTGCAATTTTAGCATTCTCTGACTTTTTATTATGAGACAAACTACACCTTGTAAATAAACTACACCCAACATCTAGTCTTTACTGAATACTGCTGCAGTTTACATGACTACGTGGGTCATGAGCTACGTATGCTTCAATTAAGCATCAGGGTTGGCATGCTCCACCCTATGCTCAGGCTAGATGGCCATTTTCACAAGGAAGGCCTGGAAATACAAGACAGTTTAACTATGGGCACAAGAAGCAGTTACACGATTTTTTCCACTTTAGGCTTAAATAGTTAAGGCACTTGCTAAACTCAGTTATGCATGGGCCTCTTAAGTCAGACACAACCAATGCAATGTGCAAGATTTGCATGCAAGCCTTCTCTTTACACTGTTCTCTACAGTAAAACGGTCAAGAAACAAGCCACACAATTTTGGAAATACCAAAGAATATTGTGCGTCGGAAAATATATTGGTCATTGCATCATGAAGAAATGCAAGCATCCTATAAGAAAGCCATTAATCCAAATTTTCCAAAAGGTATCCAGTACTACAGAAATTAAATAGAAACCCAAACAAATCAGGAGTAAATACAATTATCTGCAGTATTATAAAGGCTGATTTTATGTCTCCATCTGTAAAACCCTTTCCTCTCCTAATTTCAAAATACTTTTTCCAACAGGGTCAAAAGATTATACAGGGAGATTAGAACATTTGACTAGATGGAAAGAAATGTCAATGCTTTTTAAACACACTTATTTCGTAATTAGCACATAAGACTATTCTCATACTGTGTACACAAAACTACTGATTTTGAAAAGTTATTATTTTCCTTTCCTAAAAATCCCACATTATCCACACAGGAAAAATTCTTAACCAACTAAACAGGAACTGAGAGTCCTAACCATGGTGTACTGTAGGATATATTCATCAGCACCAGTCCAAATGATTTGGCACAGACACCAGAGGAGAGGGGGAAAAAAAAAAAAAAAAAATAGAAAGAGGTCCTTGAAGGGGGCTTTGGCACTCCAGTGCCTAACCCAGCCCACCTTCTGGTACTTAGGTGTTCCCTGCAATAATCTGCCATTACTGAAATATGCAGATTGCAGCTCTTTGCCTACCAAGGAAACCAAGATACAAACCCTCCCTCAAATATGTGTAAAAGAGCATAGAATACAGGCTGGACATCAGGCACCTCACCTGGACTCACTGTAGATTCATTTTATTCCTCAACTCCTAAAGCTAGGGTAGCAATCCCCACGTATTGAGCATTTTGAAGCCACCACCACTGAACTACTTGTACAGAAACATTTACTGCAGGAGGCATTCACATCTCTATTTCCTATATCCTGGCTAAAAAGCCCAAACACTGGGCTATCCAGCTCATGCGAGGCTTTCTCTTTTAGCTTGACAGAAGCAACTACCCTGAAATAACCAGTAATCTGTAATAGAAGACACTCCTACAGATATGGGTGCACATGGAAGTAAAGCTAACCAGCAGCAGAAATGCAGATGGTAGCTTGCTTGGTCTCAAAATTTTAAACTCCAGCACACATTGAGAAGTACTTTTGAGAACTTCAGACTATCAAACCTCTTACCACACACCACATACCTTCCCAAGCAAGCCCTCTCTTTCTTCATCTAACGTTGCATGGTTGAAGAGATAACTCCCAGCTTGGTCCTCCCTTCTACATGTGCAAAGTAAAGAGATTACTTCCCAGCTACCACGTACGATGAGCAACAACTCCACCAAAGCCCTACAAAAAGAATATCTCTAAAAAGCCCGCACAAAGTGATTAAAAAAAAAAAAGTTATGCTTTCACTTCTGCAGCAACATCAGCCTTTAAGCAAAGCCAGTATACTATGCAGACAGCAGTCTTTATTCATTAATTATGTGTTCAAAACGTGCAGCTACGAGACAAAAAAAAGACTCAGTATAAGCTTCTTCCAGAGATTTTTGCAATCAGAAAAAAACCACACCTCTTACATAAATTTCATGACAAAATTCCAGCTAGCTGCTCCTTCTAAAAAAAAAAAAAAAAAAACAAAAACAAACCTAACTTAAACACAGCGTTCACTGGCCTACTTCTAATGCAAAATTGTAAGAATACCGTTATCAAGTGAAAAAGTAAAAAATAAACAATAAACTCCATTTGGCATATCATTAGCAACCTTGAGCAAGAAAATCAAGGTTCAACATTCACCAATTTTGTTGCTGGCAGCAAATGACTAGTTAAAAAGATCTGGTTCGGTCAAAAAAAAACAAACCAAAACTCTCCCTACCAATGACACATCTGGGCAGAGATAACTGAAACACCAATCTTTGCAACTGTAAAGCCAAAACCTCGTTTTGCCACCACTTAACTCTTCTCATAACCTCAAAGTTCCTGGCAAACCCATCTCTCAGAGAATTAAAAAAAAAAAAAAAAAAAATCTAACTTAAGGCTTCTGCCATTAAGTCAAACAGCAAGTGCTGCGCTGCCCTGTGGCAGTGTTACAGCTGTCCTAGCTGTAGGCCAACAAAATTACCAAGTGCAACCATTTAAAAATGCAAGCCCAAAGTTGTATTTTATCAGTACCATGAACATAACGCAGGCATTACGTACTAGAGCTGCTGCTTTTTAACTAAAAGCTCAGCAGCCACCTGCTAAAGTCAAGAATGTTCCAGGTCAGTTTAAACCCACTAAAATTTTAGGCAAAGGCTCAGTGCAATAGCACAAGTTATGCACTAGTTACAGCTGTTACTGTTTTTGATGCTGCCTAGGATTCAGACTTATTTGTAGCGCTTGATATGACACAAGTGTAATTGCTCCAAAACCCAACAGATTTTATCCTCACCCTGCTGGAGAACAGAAAGCACTCTTCCTATGGGGCAAGTCCAGCTCTGACTACTACTATCAATATTCATTTTTCCTACGACAGTCCCAACTTTTAGGCTGTGGAGTAAGAACCACACTTCTCAGCGATGATCTTTCTCCACCAGATAGACCGTGCCCACAGCACAGCCTCTACATAACTCTGCAAGGCATTCAAAGCTAAACATCTGTCACCACTACAGCACATCTGTTTGAAAGGCCACCAAAGCTATACACTAGCAATGCTTCTCTATGGTTTGACTCATTAGTCGTAATTGCATAGTAATTATGTATTTCAGAATTACACTCCTCAAAAGTCCTCCTCAATGAGACCCAACGTGCTCTCATTTGCAACACATCCTCGTGTTTAGCGTATCTGAGATTATGTCGAAGTGCAGTTCATGCATCGCATTCAGAAAAGAGGTATTTTTTAATTTGGAAGAAGAGATTGCCACCTCTAGTCGTCGAGAAACCTTGCTGCATCATATGGCAACACAGCACAAACTCTGCCTTACTGAAGATAAAGGACAGGCAGCACAAACTCTGCCTTACTGAAAATCAGGACAGAGGACACCAGCTTCATCTCTCCTGCCGCGAAGACTGAAGCAACCCAAGTGACAGACCTGCTATGATATTTGTAAGTCAAGAGCTGTTACTAAATAAAAATAAAAAAATATTTTTAAAAAGTACTCTAGACATGAGTCACGACAGGACACACACATTAGCTATGTATGCCAGAAAAATCAACACAACCAAAGGTAAGCAGCAGACCCGCGTTGCTCCAGAGCAGGCAGGAGCTCCCCAGGCGGGGGTAGGACAGCACCTCCACGACAAGGGGGGTGACAGCAGGCAAGCCAGCAGGCAGCTTGGCCGACTGCAACCGCCAAGGAGCGCTATCGTTAATCCTCGCCACCACGGAGCTCCCGTTAATCTGCCCGGCTGCCGGGCCCCGGCTCGGCGGCCGTCCTGACAAAAGCAGGCCGAGGCGGCACGGTGGCGGGGGAAGGCGCGGCGGCCCGGGCGAACCCCGGCAGCAACCGCCGGCCTCCCGGCGAAGCGGCACCGGGAAGCGCGTTAGGTAACCACCGCGCAGGTCTGATGCAATAGCTGTACGTGCAGCGCCCGGTGCCGTGCACCGTCCCCGGCGGGAGGATACAGGTCAGATCCAGGTCGAAGCCATCCTCCTGGTATCGCCTTTTGTTCCTGCTGACGATCTCTTTGATGATGGCGGTCATGTCTGGCAGCCGGGGGCCGCTCCGGGACTGCGTGCAGGGGCCGAGCGGCGGCGGGGCGCGGGACCGGGAGGCGGCGGTGGGCCGGCGGCCGCCGCGCGGCCCCGGGCGTGGGGCCTGCTGCGCCGGCGGCTCAGCCCCAGGCGGGCCCGCCTCCCTCCGCGGCGGCGGCTCCCGGCGGCTGCCCCCTCCTCCTCCTCCTCCTGCCGCCGCTGCGCCGAGCGGGGCGGGAGCAGCAGCGGCGGCGGCGGCGGGCGAGCAGAGAAGGTCCGGAGCCGGGCCAAGTCCCTGAGAGTGCCGCCGCCGCCGCCGTCTTTGAGGCGAGCGAGGCGGAGGCGGAGAGAGCAGCTCTCCGGCGCTCCGGGCCCCAGCAATGGTGACAGCGGCGCGGGGCGCCCCCCCGGCCCGGCCCCGCTCCGCCCCGCTCCGCTCCCCGCCTGGGGCGGCGGTAGCGGCTGCGGGCCCGGAGCCGCGCGGTGGGGCCGCGCCGCCGGGTGGGCGCTCCGCGGCGGGCCGGCGGCAGCAGCGGCGGCTCCTCAGGGCGTGCGGGCCAGCAGCGCGGCCTGGCTCATCCCCCCGGCCTGCTCCGCGCCCAGCAGCGCCGCGCCAGCGTTAGACTCCCATCATGGCTGCAGCTTCCGAGAGGAGAGGCCGCCCCGCCCCCTCTGCCCCCTCTGCCGCCTCCGCCGTATAGAGAAAGTAGTCCCTCACGAACCGGCCAACCGTCACCTTACCCCGTCACCTTTCTGCCTCCTTCGGTGCCACCCACGGACCCTCCCGCCCCTCACCTCGCCGCACCCCGTGCTCCTTCTTTCCTGCGGGAATGGGGGGCCGGTGGGCGGAGGGATACGGCAGCCGGGAGGAGAAGTCCCGGTCACCGCGCCAAGCGGTAGTGCTGCGACAAGTCACGTGGAGGGTAGGGATCTGAGGTGAGGTGTGGAGCGGAGCGGGAGCGCGCTTGGCCCCGCCTCCGCTCTCTGCCGACACCGGCTCCGCCCGCGGGAGCTGCGCCGCTTCCTGCTCTTTGCGCTCCCGTGGCCTACCGGCGTTCGGGGCCTGCGGCGGGCGGGAGGACGGGGGCTTCTCCCTTCCTACCCTTTCCCCAGTCAGGTGGCCCCGTAAGGCGGGTAGGTGCCACGGCGGCTGCCCCCGCCCTCTGAGGTGCCCAGTCCGGGTGTAGCTGACTTACATAACTGGCTCCTGGAAAGCGGAATGGACACCGTGCGACCCTGAGGCCCGCGGGGATATGGGGAGGGGAAGGTTTGCCCATCGCCAGGGGCCTCGTTCTCTCTCCCTCCCCCCCGGGGCTGCCGTTGTGGGGCTCAGCGTAAAGCTGAGCGACCTCGGCTGGCGCGGAGCCGTTGCCCTCTCTCCGATCGTGAGCACCTACTGCCCCCTGCAGTCGCCCAGGCCCTGGGGCAGGAAGAGGGCCAGGAGAGGGCCGCCTGCTATTCCCGCTGCCTGCACGTTCTGCCGGCATCCGGGCCCGGGGGTAGGTAGATGAAGTGCCCCACTGGATCACAGCGGCTGGCTCACCGGTAGTGGTCATGCTGTTTTCATGGAGCTTTCTGTCCCCCCTTTTAGCCCCATAAGTGACAGTTACCCAGATAGGAAAAAGCACTGTTTCTCAAAATCAACCTTTAAATTCCTTCAGAACTTTAGCAAATCAATCCCGTTGTACAGAGTTCTTTGCACTCTATGCAGAAAACTTCTTTAAGCCTTTGGACATTGCTGGTGTTAATGATTTGCAGGAAAAAGACCATCAGGTAGCCTGTGGCAGCCTGAGCTGACTACGAACACTGGCTGCAGTCTCAGTTGCCAGTTTCCATCTCATTATTTGGTACAACAGATTGTGAGGGTTGTGATTGTTTTCCTTTTGTGTGCAGACAGGTGAAATGTTAGCCTATGGAGGTAACACAAAGAAATACTTTAAGGCAGTTTGATATGTGTGACTTCTGTAAAGCATCAGGAATGAAATCTGCTGGAGATTAGCATCTGCCCCAACTGCTAAGGGATCAGGAAAGAGCTAGCTAGACATTACATTTGAAGAAACAGGGTTACTAGGCAAATACATTTATAAATTTGCCTTCCTCAAAAAAGTATCAATGAAAAATCTTCATGTCTTTTTCATATTGGACAGCAAGTAATGTGAGGTCAAAGATAACATACCTTTGAAAGAAGCCATTTGTTATATGGAGGGATGCTGGGCATCTCCAAAAATTTGCAGGGAACAAAAACAAAAGCTAAATTAAACCATTTCTTATACTCCTAGGAAAGAGACATAATGGAAAGGACCATCTGTCCTTTTTCTCTGTGAAAGTTAGATGATGTAACCAGGCTGGTATCTCCCAAAATAACAGATTCTGGGTTTAATTCATAAGTCCACCTCAAATGTTTTTGAGGCTGGCAGTGAAAGACACCTTGCTGAAGACACTTTTTAACTTCCTAGACCCATTGGACCAAAATGAAGGCGTCCCTTGCAGGAATATGACTAGGATATCTCCCATGGTTTGCTTAGTGATTGCATTACCCAGAGAATTGCTATCAAATACGTTTGAGGAGGGCAACCTGAAGAAAAATAGTGCTTACATACTGGTTGGATGCTGTAGCAAGTTGGTTAATAAGCAGGTCTGGAAGTAAGAAAGTTTGGATGAAACATAGTTCTTTACGTGTATGAGAAGATATATTAAATACAAATTTATGCATATATAAATTAGGCAATGCTTTACTAAACTTTTCCTTTCTGAGGAACAGCAAAACAGAATTCAGAAGTGCAAGATAAGTTTGGTGTCCAATCTTTAAGCAGCTTTTAAGAGAGGTGCTGAAGACCGACTGCAGATGGCTGGAGCAGGAAGAGGAATGGGAGGGTGAAATGCTACTCTTTGCCTGTAAAGGCTCAAAATAAACTGAAGCATAAGGTGGAGGGATTTCCTGGGTTGCTGCAGCCATTCAGCCTTTGCAAATGATATATATATATCCTTTCATAAATGTATCAAGTTTCATCTTCAGCTCTTTTGCCACCATTATTCCCATTGGGAAGCTGTTCCCAGAACCTTCTTCTGATTTTCTTGCTAAATATATATTTATGACTGGTTTAAATCCACGTATTCTTGTGCCAGCATTGGCCTTAAATAGCTCCCACTCCATAGCATTTATCCTTTTTCCTCTTTGTGCACTTACAGGCAAAAATGTCCCCCTTAGGAGTTGTTTGACTATGCTAAGCTAGATGAGCTCCCCTAACTTTGCTCTCTCCCTCATCTTAGCAATTACTTTCTGCTCCAGTTTCATTATTATTTATTTATCTTCAACAGAGATGACTAGAATGGCATACAGTGTTCTGGAGGGTATCTTGCCAGCACCAAGGACAATTTTATTAATCCCTTCCAAACTCTGCTAGGAACATTGCTCCCAAGGCCTCTCAGTGTCTTGTTTTTGTGATTACATTGGCAGGTCATAGTTATTTTGGGATCAACTTGTGTGTGTGCAGTAAGATTGTACCGTTCCTTTCCCAAACTTCAAATGTATAGAATGAACCCATTAAACCTACTTTTGGGTCCTGGACTCGGAGGTTATCCATAGACAAATACAGATATAGCTAGCAAATCAAGACCATCTTTGAAAAAATTTCTGAAAGTCCTCAAGTCCTAAGACTGCCCTCCTCTTTCTAACATCTGACTACATACATGTTACTAGGAAGTTGCTATGGCTGAATTGACAGTCCTTTTGGTAGATTCCCAATTCCAAGTCAGACCAAGGCTAAAAAGCATTCTGAGCAGTAGATAGCTATCAGTGACCATTGTGTCAGCAAGGCCTGGGACAGATACTCCATCACAACATAGAGTGATGATCTTCGTAACAGCACCCACTGGTGAATCTCATGATCCAACCTGTAGGACTTTGCCAGCAACTGGTAAGACAGAGAAAGAGAAAATAATTATGTCACTGTTAATATTTGTGCTGTGCCTCCATCTTCAACTCTGTGTAGAGTTGATGGCCTACTTAAAAAAAGTTAGCTAGAGGTCTATAAAATCTTAAGTTACTGAAGAAGTTTAAGCCACTGTCCATCATACTTGAAAAATCACGGCAGTCAGGTGGGGATCCCAACGACTGGAAAAAGGGAAATATAACCCGCATTTTCAAGAAGGGGAAAATGGATGACCCAGGGAACTGCAGACCAGTCAGTCTCACCTCTGTGCCTGGCAAAATCTTGGAGCAATTGTCCTGGAAGGCATGCTAAGGCACATGAAAAACAACAAGGTGCTTGGTGACAGCCAGCATGGCTTCACTAAGGGGAAATCCTCCCTGACCAATTTGGTGGCTTTCTATGATGGGGCTATGGAACTGATGGACAGGGGTAGAGCTGTTGATGTCATCTACCTGGACTTGTGCAAAGCGTTCGACACTGTCCTTTACAACACCCTTGTCTCTAAATTTTAGGGACATCAATTTGGTGGATGTACCACTCAGTGGATAAAGAACTGGCTGGATGGCCGCACACAGAGTTGTGGTCAATGGCTCAATGTCCAGCTGGAGACCAGTAATGAGTGGTGTCTCTCAGGGATCGGTGTTTGGACCGTCTTGTTTAACATCTTTGTCACTGACATGGACAGTGGGATTGAGTGTGCCCTCAGCAATTTTGCCGATGACACCAAGCTGTGTGGTTTGGTTGATACACTGGAGGGAAGGAATGCCATCCAGAGGGACCTTGACACGCTTGTGAGGTGGGCTGATGCCAACCTTATGAAGTTTAACCATGCTACACGTGGGTCGGAGCAATCCCAGGCACAGCTACAGGTTGAGCAGAGAAGAGATTCAGAGCAGCCCTGCGGAGAAGGACTTGGGGGTGTTGGCTGATGAGAAAATGAACATGAGCCGGCTTCAGTGTGCGCTCGCAGCCCAGAAAGCCAACTGTATCCTGGGCTGCATCAAAAGGAGTGTGGCCTGCAGGTCGAAGGAGGTGATCCTGCCCCTCTACTCTGTTCTTGTGAGACCTCACTTGGAGTATTGTGTGCAGTTCTGGTGTCCTCAACATAAAAAGGATATGGAAAGCATATGGAACAAGTCCAGAGCAGGGCCACGAAGATGATCAGGGGGCTGGAGCACCTCCCGTATGAAGACAGGCTGAGAAAGTTGGGGCTGTTCAGCCTGGAGAAGAGAAGGCTGCGTGGAGACCTCAGAGCAGCCTTCCAGTATCTGAAGGGGGCCTACAAGGATGCTGGGGAGGGACTCTTCATTAGGGACTGTAGTGATAGGACAAGGAGTAACTGGTTAAAACTTAAACAGGGGAAGTTTAGATTTGATATAAGAAGGAAGTTCTTTACTGTAAGGGTGGTGAGGCACTGGAATGGGTTGCGCAGGGAAGTTGTGAATTCTCCATCTCTGACGGTGTTCAAGGCCAGGCTGGACAGAGCCTCGGGTGACACGGTTTAGTGTGATGTGTCCCTGCCCATGGCAGGGGGGTTGGAACTAGATTATCTTAAGGTCCTTTCCAACCCTAACTATTCTATGATTCTATTACAGGAACTGCTTGCTTTGCCATTTCTTCAATATAAAACGTAGGGGTTCCAGATGAACCAATTGGTGACAGGTTCAAAACAATAAAGTAGATAGTGTCATGGTGTAAAGTTAAATTATGGGACTTGGCTACAAAATTCCACAGATGCCAAAAGTTTTTAAGGACAGAGTAGACAAATTTATGAAAAAAATTGGCTATAAAATATAACACATTCTCTGACTTGGGAAGTCTTTGATCTGTAAGCTGCTGAAACTTGGAAGTCTTCTGGGGACAAACAACTACATGCTTTTGCCAAATTATAAAGTTGTTTCTAGGCTTCCCCATTTCTCCAGTTTATTTGCTACTTTCCCCATCTTTCATTTTGTTCTTTCTGCTTTGCCTTGCTTTCTGTTTCTCTCATTTCATCCCTCTCTGTGTTTTCTTCCTTGTGTCTTGCAAATCCCCTTCCTACCTCCAACCACCATAGATCCTTCTGATGTTAACATACCACTCCTTTCCCTTCTTGCTCTTGTTCAAGTCACTGGCAAAGCTCAGGTCATCCTGCACTGACTGGAGAATTAAGTTCACCAAAAACATGTTTCATAGCAAAGAACCCAGCAGTAAAATGCAAAACAGTGCATGCACCATGTGGCCTTCATCCTTCCTTCTCTGATGAGTTTTCTAACTACACTAGATCCTTTCTGTGACCTTGTAAACCTGTATTCAAGAGCTACAGTCTAGAGTCCAACCAAGTCATCCATACATTCGATTTGAAATTTTTCAGTTTGGGGGGAAATGTGCAATCTTTTTTTTCAACACCAATTAAAAACCAAACAAACACAAGGCAAAACAAAAGCTGACCAAGAATGTTCTCTTTTTCCACAGATGCAAAACCAAATTTGATAAAAAATTATGCCGAATGAGTTTCAACTTTTGTTACCACTTTCTAGATCTGTCCTTAAGAAGGAAGCAAAGCAACATCTCACTGCGGCCAGTTCTGTGCGAACAGGGAAAGTGGTGCAAGAGGAATGGAGACTTCATGGAGACCTCTGTAGGATCAGCTTTCAGAAAGAGTTAAGTCCTATGTCGAGCCTTCAGCAGCGTTAAGGTTCTGAGACTCTGTACTTAGGAAAGCAGATGAATTTGGCATTTCTCAGCATTTTTAAGAAATATGTGTTCAAGAAATTGTAATCTCTCAATATCTTGAGAAATTGGGACCCAGTCCAGTTTCCGCATTCTGCATCAACCTCACCTTCAAGACCCTGGTTGGCTTCTGAAAAATCTCTCAAATTTTTTAAAGTATTTTTCAGCAGAGGATTTATTTCAAAGGTTACCGCCACAGCTGTCAAATAGCAGTGACAAAATGTAGTTTTGAGCTTTTATTACTTGTGTATGCATTTGCATTTCTCCTTAATTGCAGCAAAACAGATGTCACTTTTTTTCAGAGTGGGAGAAAAAACAGAAGGGTCCTAAATATTTTCCTACAGTAATGGTGATTTGAACATGATATCATTTTCCTAGCGTATGAAATGCAGACAGTGAGATGATTGATAATCCTTTTTTTATTCAATAGTGGTGATTGCAAAAATGAGTATAAGCCTCAAATTAATAGCAAAGGCTGTCAGTATCACTGGTTATATCCAGTTAATTTTTAAAACATTGAAGGGAAATTGTTCACTTATTCTATGTAGATTGAAAAAAAAAATAATCTGTAGAAGGTTATAATCTTATTTACCATCAAAGACTGGAGGAGGAGCAGTAAAGGAAGGTCTTGTGTAAATCAATACGGACATTGATACATTTGTTTTCTGATTAAATAGACTTTTCATTTGGAAGAGCTATAGTGCACAAAACAAAAGAGAAATACTGATGAAGGTAAAGTTGTTTCAAAACTTTATTATTTGGGGGGGGCATGGTGTATATTAATCTAATAAATGGAACCAAACCAAAACTGCTGGAATGGTACTTTGGTAAAATCACAGTCACTTCAAGAATGTGTGTTTTTGCATTTGTTTCCACCATTTGTTTAATGGTGGAAACACTATGCACCACCGATGTGCTGATGCATGGATACTCATGGGGAGGGTAGATGGCATCCCACCTGGATCACTGGAGGCCATGCATGGGGTTTGGTATTAGCCAGATCAGCTGAAGGAAGGAAATTAGGTGTCACACTCTCTACCTGAGGTGGTGCTGGTGGAGCAGATTCTGTGGAGAAAACACAGAGCAGAAGCAGCAGATCTCCGCAGGTTTTTGTCTGTCATAGCCACCAATACTTTCTGTAGACTCCCTGCTGAGTGAAAGATCTGCATTTGTGTACAAGGGATGACGTTTAAAAATGACCCGTAATAAAATTACTGTTGTAAAAAAAAGCTAACTGCTCTTGACAAAGAAATTATGATCCCCACTGAGCAGGCCGAATTTTGTTAGGAAGCCTCTGGACAATGTATGAATTACAGGTAAGAATAAAACTTGGTGATAAAGCTTGACCCCGGGGCAAAGCTAGGTCTGAAAGGCATTCAAACAAGAGCTGAAGGGTTGAAGACAAGTTGCTAAAACCTTGGATTAATTATAGTTATTACAGAGATCTCCTTATTTTGACCTTTTCCTAGACATTTTTCTGTTCCTATATAGAGAGAGTGAAATTACTGTTTTCATTAAAAGTTGAAATAGGGAAACTATCCCCTCATATCTCTTAGTGTGGTGAAATAAGATTAATTCTTAGATTTTGATGATTTCATTCTGGCAGATCCCTGTAGCATCCCAAATCTGCCAAGTAATGCATTTTCCAAACTTGAGCTATTATTCTACGTCGCCGCTTCTGCGAGGAGCGTGGTTATCAGGAGGCAGGTGACGGGGCATGCTTGAACCCCTGCAGGGCCAGGCCCTCTGCCGGCGGAGAGCGGCCTGGAGAGCCGGGGGCTGAGCTGAACTAGGCTGGGCAAGGCCGGGCTGGGCTGGGCTATGCTATGCTATGTCGGCGGGCGGAACCTTCGTGCGGGGCGGCGGGAGTCGACCGGAGGGGAGAAGCGAGGGACGCGCCGCCGCTGAGGCAGGCCCCGTGCTGTTACCGCCGTTGCCTTCGTCCGTCCGTGCGGCTGCCGCCGCGCCACGACCCGCTGGCTGCGTGTCTGAGAGGCCAGCCCGAGGGGTGAGTGACCCAGCGGGAGAGCGACCCGCCGCCGCTTCCCGCCGCCGTGCCGGCATCTGTCGGGCGGCGGGAAGGTCACAGGCGGCAGGTCTGGCCCGGCTCTCCACCGGTGCCGCCTTCGCCTCTCCGCGCCACGCCGCATGGCAGGGCCCCGGACGGCCGCCACCGCGTCCTCGGCAGGGCTTGAGACTTCTCGAGGCCTGCTTCTGCTCTCGCTCAGGCCCACCGGACGGGCCGGGAGGCCAGGCGGGGCGGCGCTGCCCCGTCCGTCCTGTCAGCTTCGGCCCCGGCGGTGAGGCGGTCGGTCTTGGTGGCCTGGCCGGGAACCGGCCCCTTTCCTGAGCTGCTCCGCCGGTCGGTGTGCTGCGTGGCGGTAAAGCCGAGCCCTGGAAAGGGAAGCGGTCGCCCTCGCCTGAGGGCCTGGGGGAGAAGCAGGGGTTTCCTACAAGGGACTGAAGTTTTCCCCTCGCCGTGTTGTGGGAGCAGAACAGAAACCAGCAGCGCTTCCCCTTTTGGTTTCTTTTTTTTGTATTTGAAACGTTGGCATGCAGATAGCGAGCTAAAGGAAAAGGCGGTGGCAGCCTTACGGACCTAGAGTTTGATGTGCAATTAACTGACCTTCTCGTTATCCCAGCAATTTGTGTAGAAAGTAAATGCTGAAATTCATGCGGGATAAGCAGAACTTCGTTTATGCTGAAATTTCCCTCCTGTTAAAGCTTTCTCTTACAAGGTGTATTCAGGGCAAGGATTGCATAAGAAGTGGGTTGTTTTATCTTTGGGCTTGGGGCTTTTTTGTTTGTTTTTTTTTTCTCGTTCATTGAATATATATAGCCCTTTTATTTTAGTAAATCAGACTTAAGAGAACATGCAGAATATGCTAGTTCAGTATTGCTTGCTTAGATGCCTAAGCAGGCAAATTTTATTTGATTTCCAAGCAAGTATGCACAGCAACAGTCTTGATTTTTTTTTCAGTCTCCTAACAGAGAATGAATAGTTTAAAAAAATGAAACTGTTTTTTAGTGATCTGCACTGGAATATTTTTGTCTTTGTGTTGCAATGCTTCTCCCGTCTGCCCAGTCCTTGTAAACTGAATCTATGGTATGGCATTGCCTTGAGTTGAATACAGGGTCGACATAAAGCAACCGCTAGCCAAGTGAGGGGAATTCAAGGATATCTTGGCTGTAGGTAGTCTAGCTTTTCCCTGGCTGACAGCTTAGTTTGGAGATGAGCCAAGGAGCATTAGAAGCTGCCAGAGGAGTTGCCGCTGATTTTGCCCTTGCAGCAGGAAAATAGGGCGGTGAACAAGGGGAGCTTTGGGGATTCTCAAGTGGAAGCCCCACCAGCTGAGGAGAGAGTGGATTGAGGAGAGAGGACCTCAATTTTATAAGTAATTTTTCAGTGTTTCAGGAAGAGTTTTTTTCCTCTTTACAGCATGCTTCTGTAACTTGAAGGTGCTATACTTTCTGGGTTTGTCTCTTACAGCAGCCAGCCTTTTTCCTTGGTAGCTGTGTGCCACATCCAACATTTTCAGTTTTCCAGGAGTATTAACAACTCAAAATATATTCTGCTAGGTGCAGCAGACTTCAGCTCTTAACCTTATTTTATTTAAATACAAGTTGTTGGTCACTTCTTAATCTGGCCATTGGGTGCCTTTCCTTTAAACTTCTTAGGGGAAAGAACTCCCTGTTTAAATAATGCAGTTATCTTTGTCTCCATGACTTAGCATTCTTGGGTCAATAACAGTCACAAAATGTCAGTCTTAATGGGAATGTAAACTTGGCACTGATATAATCTTTATTAGTTTATCAGGGTTTTGTAAAGCTGAAAGAAAAGCAGATTTCTTGAAGAAAGAGTGTAAAAAGAACCTTTTTGCGTACAGTCAGTCGGGAAGTAAGGCCTCAGATTGTTGCTGCCTCTGAATTCTTCTCTGCTTACTGAAACTGGAAATGAAACCATCATTATACTCAGAACTCTGTGCTTTAGTCTTAAGCAGTTTTGTATGTTGGGATGGTGCTACTGTTAAGATACTTCATTATAACTATGCCCACTCCGTGTGTGGGGGAAAGTTTTTATAGAATGGTGTTTAGCTTTAAATTTTCTTTCTTTCTGTCCCTCCCTGCACTTTTTTACATTTAGTGTTGAGAAGCAAAATGGTCCATGCTGAAGCATTTTCACGTCCCCTGAGCCGGAATGAAGTGGTTGGATTAATTTTTCGTTTAACCATTTTTGGTGCTGTAACGTATTTTACCATTAAGTGGATGGTTGATGCCATTGATCCAACCAGAAAGCAAAAAGTAGAAGCTCAGAAACAGGTAGGATTTTATTCATAAATATTTCTGTGAAATGTTGTCTTGTTCATAACCATTCATACAGAGAAATGTGCAAACTGAAATAACTAGCAAAATAATCAAAGTCTGGAATTATCCTAGTAAACCTCAGCACCTAGGCTGTAGTGTTTTCAGTACTTACATTTCATGACAAATTTTCTAACTTGAGATGGTGGAAAAACTGTTGAACTGGAGTATGATGTTGTCTCTTAATTATCTGCAAGTGTGTGGTCCCAGAGTTGTTTCTGCTTCTGGCAACTTTGCTAAGCAGCAGTTGAGTTAAATAATGCTCTCATCAGTCTTGGTTGCTTTTTAAAACCTTGAGCAGAAATAACTTGGTTCTCTGCTGCTTTTTGGCAACTTAATGGCAAAGGCAAGGACTGTAGTTACTCATGACAAAGAGGAACACTGCTATCCAAATGCCTTTTTAAGTATAGCTTGCACTTTAGCCCTCTCCTTCTTCTCTGCCCCCACCTCCAGTAGCAGTCAAAATGCTCTGGAAAGGGAAGAAGTGAAAAGTCTAATTTCTTACATTGAGCTAGAATGATTTATGGGGTTTAATGCTCTGGAAAAAGATTTAGGTGCAGAGCCAAAAGTTAAATGTTTCGTTTGGAAAGTATTGAATGAAGTGTGGCAACTGGTTTTTGTTTTCTGGCTGACACAGATTTCATAGATTCAAGCAGCAGTTTTGAGCAACCTAATTCTGTTTAGGGTGTTTTTTTTCTTTTTTAATGAAAACATGAGTTAAAAAATTAGGCCTACTTCACAATCTGTGCTAGTGCCAGTTATTATATAAGAGGTTGCAAATATCCCAAAAGCATGTCAAGCTTAACCGCAACTTAGAGTATAAAGAGAAACTGAATTGTGAAAGCATGTTGACACAACAAATTACTTTTCCTTTAAAACTGGGAAAAAGAAATCATTGACTATATATTTAAAAAAAAAAAATACTGGCTTCTGTGAATTTTCTTTTTCTTAAAAACCCACTAATCTCTCCCTGATACAATGCCATGGAGGTTGGGGGCCATGCTTTTCATAATAACATGTGTATCTTCCATTAAAATGTGTGTGTGTTATTTGCAGAGTTCTGAATGAAGATACACATGTGAAAGAACTCCAGAGTTCTATTTAATAAGAAGTTTCAAGCTTTTCTTCTGAATCCCTTACAAAGTTTGTAAAGGCTATGGGGATTTTTTTAAGTGTAACATGCCTGGGTCAGCTTTGGAAACTCCTGGAGTGAGAGATTATGGAAATTATTTTGTACTAAGGTTACCTGTGTTCTGAACAGCAAACTCCATGTCTTAATGTTTATTTTAGTTGCTTTTCAGGCTTGGAAGTGGGAGGGCTGGTGTGACACTTATTTGATGAGAACTGAGACTTATGACTTAGTTTCACTCAAGTGACAAGGCAATATAAAATAGCAGAACCTTCTGCTTCTGAAAGATTTAACCTCTTTTTAGATGTGACTTCCAG